CTCGACAGAGGTGCAGGGCGACCAAGGCCGTTTCCGTGCCAAAGGCAAGCCTAAACCCTGATGGAAATGGACCCAGATATTCAGCTTCTTCCAAGAGCACCTGGATCTGGTCTGCAACCACTCGCTCCAGAACCTCACTCCAGAAGTTGGAAAAACCAAGACGGGTAAGATTTTAAGACAGGTAAGACTTAGAAGTGAGAAGGGTAGGGGGATCTAGGGGGATCCAGGGGGATAGAAAGCTGTGCATGTGATAAAGAGCAAAGCAGAGGCGCAGAAGACAACATAGTTCCATTTAATTTCATGTTAGCTCAGGATGCCTTGTTGACAAAAATGCTTTGCAGCCATTTTGTGATAGCTTCTTGGGGACTATAGATTAGCTCCTTTGCTAATGGGAAGAACTTCATTTTATGTATAATGTGGTTTCCAAGGAGTAGAATAATGAGCCCTCTTGAGCAGCAGGCTTGAAAGTTGTGGCATTGGGCATCTGAAGCCAAACAAATTGTATTTACTGCAGAAGAGGGTCACCAAAATATTGTTGAGTTTTTGTTCCTTCCGAAGTGTATAAATCCAGAAGGTTCCAAACATGCCAGCATTTTGCATCCTCGCCAGTACTTCTGTTCCTAAAGTAGAATACCCATTTAGAATACCCATTTTAAAAGCTGATGCATCAAACTGCTTCCTTTGTCTGTAGCAATTGCCTTGCTGATTTCAGTGTGAAAAAGCAAATAAGGCATTTTGAGGGTGAATCTACTGATGGCAATGGGAGAGGTGGCCTGGTAGAGGCACTGGAGTGAGTAGAGGTTTTCACCATTTTGCCGGCCATTTTTAAGCAAAAAAAGTGCAGCAAACATTTAAGAACAAACATATTCACAATTAGGAAGGATGAGCCGTGACCATTTTTTCCTGTACATAAAGGGCAGAATTTTTTTCTGCTAATGGTAAGGCTGAAATGACTGAGAAAATATTTGAAATCTTATGAATCCCAACTCTCTGGCCATTTTTACTCATACATAAGGGGGTGGCTGATTGTTCCACTAATGACCAGAGCGGGGCCACACAAAATCATAATAACCCACATTTGTGAAACGTTTTGGAATAGAGACCTGTACCCTTCAATCCTGTAGATAAAGGAGGCATGTAGCTCCCAATTTTCTTTGCCTGGGGTACATGTATGATTGCTTTATGCAGGGAACATATCCATAAATGCTGAGACTTTATTAGAAATTTAATTTGACCCAAATTGTATTGCTGTCTTTTTGGTGAAAACTTGCACGATAGGATTGATAGTTGCTGGGTTTCCATCAAATACTAAAATACTTAAATACCTTCAAATGTAATCGTAGCTTCTAATAAAAAAGAATTTTGAATTATCAGAGGTGGCGATAGGCACTAATAACTAACAAGTGATCTCTAAATGCTCTATAGTAATTATGGCAGCAATACAGTTGTGTGTCTTCTGGCTGAAGGTCAACTAGGTGAGTATCTTGTGCTTGGCTGAGGGGAAAATCTCTGTTGTGTTCTGCCTGCAACTCTTTGTACAAAGATTCTTTCAGGTCGCAGTGAGGGGGACCATTCAAGCACCCTGAGCCTGTTGGAGAAAAGGTAGGCTCTAAGTGGAATCATACATCAAATATGCAAACTAAATATTCCAAAGAGCTTGTATTGAGCAACATTGGTTATTCAATCCCTGTTTCAGAAGAGCTGCGAACTCGAAAGCCTAATGCAGTCGCTCTCCGTGCTTCTACCTGGAGGGACTTCTCGTGTCGGGACACCACTGCAGGGGAAGCCCTTTTCTGTGCCATCACCACACAATAAGGTACATCTTTGGGTGGGACAGCCAGCCTTGTTTTGTTCCAGCTCTTTTTTTTACAGACCTCACAGAGCTACCTGTGCGGGAAGCAGATCTGCTCCATTGACAAGTAAGAGGCAGTATCAGAGCTCTTGATCCATCAAGTGAACATCTGCAGTGCAGGATTGAGAGACACCTGCGTCTTGACTGTGCTGCTTTAGGTAACCGGCTGTTTTTGCTCCTGTGTCTGGAGGGGAGGGCTGCTGAAGACCCTAGTCTCTTCCAGGTGCATCTCAGGGACGCAAGAAATAGAATTTTGCAAGCCTTAAGGAAACTTAATGGCAAGTGAACTTCACATTCCACAATTCAGTGATCTTTTTCAGTCCAATCCTTTTGGGCTGGCTTCTCCATTTCCCCCCGCTTGATCTCTTCACAGTTCTGTCCAAGAGCCCACCACACTCAGGGGAAGCCAGCTCTTCCTGCAGAAGTCAGGTCAGTAAGAAGAGCTGGGTTCCAAAAACATTTCTCTGGAATTGGCGGGAAAGGGCCGGGGACAAAGTACTGAGTCCAGATTGCTTTTCACAGACCAGCAGAAGGAACTTCCAGGCCCATGAATTCACACTTCGGAGGGACAAACAAAAAGGTGAGCATAAAGGCAGAGTTTGAAGACTGGAACCAGTCTCTCTGTTCTGCCCTGCAAATTAATGGCAGTCAACATGGCACTCTGTGACTTAAACACATCTAGGTGAATATCCCTTGCTAATGGCAAGGGATAAAACCTCGATTGTGTTCTGTCTGCAGCTTCATAATTCTTAAGGGTTTTCTTTTTTCCTGAGAGAACATTCTGTATTCAGAGTGTTCTCTCAGGTTTTGCTTTTCACCTTGTTGCATTGGCCAAAAAAAAGCAAAAGACGCTGGTGGTTGGCGCTCCTGGTTTCCAGGACGGGGTTCAAGCCCCTGCGGTGTCCCTACTTACTTCCAATGCAACCTCTCTGTCTGTCTCTCTCTCTCTCTCTCTCTTTCTCTATCTCTCCCCCTTAAGAACTAAATGAAGCGAAGTGCTCCTCTGATGCATCACTGGTGTGTGTCTAAGACAAGGTGGATTACATGGATGCTTCCCATCCTAGCACTCCTTGCCATAGGGAGCAAATATACTGTATAAAAGACTGTCTTTTAATTTGGCATTTTTTAGAAAGTAACCTAAATATACAAACAAACGGATCCTATTTAGATTATGCAGAATGTGGAAAAGGCCGGGATGAAAGAGGAAATGGCATCACGTTCACTCATTAACAGAAGAAGAGCAAATATAAAATGCTCAGGTGTCCTATTTTACAGAAGACAGTCATCAGTTTCCAGGGCTATCAGAGGCTTAAGATGTGGACAGGTGACAGTTCTCTGTATGAAGGTGTCCTCTGTTTGAATGGCCGGGCATTCCAGGTCTGGCTGAAAGATACAGAAGGAAGAGCAGGGGCACTGAAGTCGGCCATCAAAAGATAGCACCTTGGCAGCAGACTAAGCACAACCACCCAGGCCACAGTCTTCCCCGCTACAGTGAGATGTATAATATTCCCATGTAGAATTATAGGGTGACCTAACACATCAGTCGGGACGCGGGTGGCACTGTGGGTTAAAGCCTCAGCGCCTAGGACTTGCCGATCGAAAGGTCGGCGGTTCAAATCCCCGCGGCGGGGTGCGCTCCCGTCGTTCGGTCCCAGCGCCTGCCAACCTAGCAGTTCGAAAGCACCCCCGGGTGCAAGTAGATAAATAGGAACTGCTTACCAGCGGGAAGGTAAACGGCGTTCCGTGTGCTGTGCTGGCTCGCCAGATGCAGCTTGTCACGCTGGCCACGTGACCCGGAAGTGTCTGCGGACAGCACTGGCTCCTGGCCTATAGAGTGAGATGAGCGCACAACCCTAGAGTCTGGCAAGACTGGCCCGTACGGGCAGGGGTACCTTTACCTTTACCTTTAACACATCAGTCAGGAACGTGGGTGGTGCTGTGGGTTAAACCACAGAGTCTAGGACTTGCTGATCAGAAGGTCAGCGGTTCAAATCCCCGCGACAGGGTGAGCTCCCGTTGCTCGGTCCCTTGCTTCTGCCAACTTAGCAGTTCGAAAGCATGTCAAAGTGCAAGTAGATAAATAGGTACCGATCCGGCGGGAAGGTAAACGGCGTTTCCATGCGCTGCTCTGGTTTGCCATAAGCGGCTTAGTCATGCTGGCCACCTGACCCGGAAGCTGTACGCCGGCTCCCTCGGCCAATAAAGTGAGATGAGCGCCGCAACCCCATAGTCTGCCACGACTGGACCTAATGGTCAGGGGTCCCTTTACCTTTACTTTAACACAGCAGTCGTACTCAAGGTAATATCATATATCCGGCTAAGTCATACTTGGAATCACTGAAATCAATGGGTCTAGTGACTATGACTTAGTAGGAGATAATAATATTTTAAAATGTGCATCTACACAGAGCGTATGCAAATAGAGGTTCATTCCTTTGGCCACGTGTCAATGGCCACTCTAAGCAAAGACGTGTCCAATTTCTGCGATCGGGGTTATCCAGGGATGCAACATTGTATGTTCAGTCAGGCCCTTTTGTTTTCTCCTGATCAGGAGGAATCCAGTTTGACCCTAAGTAAGTTTACTTTGAAGGAAGACTTACTCTCTAGTAAGTGCACGTTGGGGTAGGGCTGTAGCTCCGTTTCAGAGTGCATGCTTTGTATGCAGGAGGTGGGGTCCCAGGCATTTCCAGACAGGGATGCTAAGAAAGATCCTTCCAGAGCCACTGCAAGTCAGGGATACCCAGGCATCAGAAGAACTATCCACCCAGATCTTCAGGAGGGCCAGAATTGCATTTTGCAACGTTTTCCACATTATTTTGCGGAAATTTCTTTCTTCCTCAGGGCGGTATGGTGCTGAAGGGAACGGCACACCTTCCCCTGCACACACACACAGACGACAACACACACACACACACACACAGAGAGAGGGAGAGAGAGAGAGAGAGAGAGAGAGTGTATATTGGGGAATGGAAGCACCAATGACTCACACTTCCTTTTCCAATATTTATTTTAGTGCATGTAATTCCCCTCTTCCACAAAATTCCAGTATTACTGTATTAGAATGAAGCATATTGGACACTAAATGTGACACTCATTTGGTACCAATGTTCTGGTTACATGCCACAGAAGTGCTCTGGCCTGGCCGTGTCAGAGCTCTGCAGTCAAAAACCAGGGACTAGAAGCTCTCCCAGAAATATTAAACATAGAATACAAAAGTGACCTTGAATAAGAGAGAGTGTCTCTTGTTGGAAAGGTAGGCTGTGTGGGCCTGTGTTTGTGTGTGTCATTTTCTTGTACATTTTATGCTCCTTATCGCTACCCCCAACATCTGTGAGCTGAGGATCCCTTTCGCATCATCATTGGCCTAGATTGCGCTGGGCTCCCTGGCCCCTGACCCCGAGCCCCGCAAAGAAGGGATCAGCAAGGAACTGGATGTGACGGAGGACATCTTGCATGTGTGAGTATTGGCCGGGCGCCCCCTTCTACAAGAGGCAAGGTGTGTTGGCAGCCGGGGCACATGGTGGGCTCTGAGTCCTGTGTCCAGCCTGCAGGAAGGTCTCCTGCACAAGCTGCAGGAGGATGAGAGACAAGGTGGCACCGTAATGGATGGCATGTTGGACTTCAACCAGGGTTTAAACAACAACAACAGTTTTATTATTTATTATTAGTTATTTATCTCCTTGACATCTGATGGGAGGATGTTCCACAGGGCGGGTGCCACCACCAAGGAGGCCCTCTGCCTGGATCTCTGTAACCTCATTTCTCACAGGAGGGAACTGCCAGAAGGCCCTTGGAGCTGAACCCCTTTGAATGAGTCTGTTTCTTGGCCTGACCTATCCTGCAGGGTTGTTTTGAGCATAACATGGAGGCAGAGTGGGGTGCAAGTAAAATAAAGTTGTGTGCTGAGCAAGACCTGCATTTGGATCCGTGTGCTTCTGCACACAGGACAACTTCCTGGGGAATGGAGGAATCTGCCTATCATCCATTTAGCACAGGACCATCTGCAGTTTTTCAGGGGGAAAGACAGGCGTAGCTCCCAGACCTACCAGGGATTGACCATCTGCATGCAAAGTGGCTGCTCTCCCACTGAGCTGGGGCCCTTCCCCAAGGGGGGGGGGTTGTGCCCACTGCTAGTGAATGAAAGTTGGTGAGATGCCCTTCTCATCATCCCTTGCCTGCAGAGATGAAGACTTCTGCACCCCGACCTTCTGTTGTCTCCCCTTGCTGACTTAGCTGCCAAAATCATTCATCTCTCACAGCACTCCCATAACATGATGCTCCTCTCTGCCTGCTCCTGGATGCAAGTGTTAATGTTTTATGTTTCAGTCTACATAAAATATACATATATATACGGTAATTTTTTTGCAGTCGATGGAGAGCAGATGAAGCCCGGATTCTGCGTGTGTCCATCAGCTCCTTCCTGGAGCATCTCTCCTTGGTGGTGGAAACGATGGACCTGTTTGGGCCTCCTGTGGCTTGATAGATGGTTGCAACAGGAAGCTTCCCCATAGTCTTGGCTGGACTCTGGACTTGCCCATGGGCTACTGATGTCAGAGGAGGCCCTGAACATGCCATCCTTAGAGCCAAGATGTTGCTTTGTGTTCTGGAGCCAGCGGGGAACTCTCTACTCCCGATACTCTTGGACATTGATAGATTTTGGGTGCTGAGAAGCAGGCAAGCCTGGGACTGCCTTGATATAAGACAAAGTACATAGAATCTGGAGCTCTAATAAATTGTCCAGTGTACTTTACTTTATAGTCTGCATGTGTTAACTGATTAAATATATTTGAGCCGGCTCACCATATTGATTAATCAATTACACAAACACAAGCAAAATCTTAACCATAGTGTTTTGGGGTGGGGTTTTTCTTTTTGAGGCTCCTGAACTGAGATGATGTCAGAAAATTCTGAGAGAAAATTCTAACAAAAAGACAGATGCTGATGTTCATTGTTTAGAAAAGGGAAAGCCATCTGTTTTCTAGAAATAGAAACAGGAAAACCATCAATTCTTTTTCGTCAAATTTGTCAAGAAGGCAGTGCTCTGAGGCTTGTGAGTTTATAAATTGTGACTTTGGAGTTAAATGAAGCTGACAGATCTATGCTTCTCTTCTTCCGATCTGTTCTCTCATACATCAGCCATGGAAAACCGCAGGCACTCCAGGTGTTGCTGGACTCCAGTTCCCTTCAGCCCCATCCAGCATGGCCGAAGGTCAGGGATAATGGGAGTTGTAGTCCTTGTAGCACCGGGAGAGACACGGGTTCCCCATCCCCATTGCTGCGTCTCTCTGTCTCTCTTGCCACCAGGGGGAAAGCAGCTAATAGCTGGCAGTGAGGAAGAGGAGGGGGCCAAGTGGCAGAGGAGCCAAAACAGATGGTGTGGCCTTGAAGTCCTATTTACCGTATATAGGAAGATTTGCCTTTTTTCCTTCTTTCTGGCAGGGCTCTTACTTTTAAACAGCAAGCAAAACTTTGCCACCTTTGCATTCTGGTGAAAGCTTCACCTGTTGGATTTCTGTTTGGCATTTGTCGTAAGTTACACTTGTAGCTTGCAGCTCCCTCTTGAAGGCACACCTGCTGAAACCTGGGTTTGTGCTTGTGTAAAAAGACCCAAGAGCGCTTCTTGCCAGCCATTGCTGTTCCTGAACCAGATAGTCTTGCCCAGTTATCCATGCTCTGGTAACCTCCAGGGTGGGATTACTGCCATGCGCTGTAAGTGGGGCGATCCTTGAAGACCGTTTCAGAAATAACTAGTGCAGAATGCAACTGTCAGGTCCCAAATTGTCATACAGCACCAGACTTAACAGCCTTGCACTGGTTGCCTTTGTGTGCCTGACCCCAATTCAAGGGGTTAAAATTGACACACAAACCTTAAAAGACTTGGGACCCAGATAATTGAACGCACATGAGTCTCTTTACCAACTTGCTCATGTGCCTAGATTGGCAGGAGAGACTCTGGACTGGCCATAAGGAGGCCATAAATCAGGCAGGCAGGTGGGTACTGGCAGAGTTTGGGGGGCAGACCCCTCTTAGCCCCAGTGGACCAGCCTCCACTTTCTCCCTGGGCTTAGAAAAACAGGGAAATAAACGGACAACATGGCCCAGAGTTGTAGGAGGGAAGCTAAGATCAAAGGCAGTAAAGGAAGTCGCATTCTTGAGCCGTCTAGCATTTTTATTCAAGATGCTTCAAGATGCTAAGCGTGGTCTGAGATGACATCAGCCCCGTCCGTCGGAATGGGGCGATGATGGCATTTCTTGAGGGGCGGAGGGAAGTTGGCTGATCTGGGTTGTCTGAGAGATCGCCCCCCCCCGGACCCGCCTCCTCTCCCCTCCCTTTGGCCTCCTGCCACCGCGCACAGCTCCCTTTGGCCCATTCCTAAAAAGGTTTCGTTGCAGAGATATCAGGATTCCAGCCGTGTGAATCATCCCGCACCGGGGCTCTCAGGGGTGCCAATTATAAGCTCTTCCCCCCCCTCTTTTTCCTTCATTTTTGGTGAGCCAATGAAACTCCCTCGCTTTCCCCCTCCCCCTTGTTTATTTCTCTGGATCCTGGCATTGCTAGATGTGCGGCTTGGGGAGAAAAAGGCATTTTCCATTAATCGCCTTTGCGCCTCCATCAATTATCCCCATCTCTGGCAGCGCCGCGGTTCCTGGAAGTGGGGTGCGGGGGTCGGGGGTCCAGAAAGGGATTAGAATTGGGGCTGGAAGATCCGACTTCTCCCTTACTATAAAAGGAGCGTGCCAGGGAGGGCAAGGCGGTTGCACGATGGTTCTCCAGCGACAGATGAAAGGGAGCAAGACGCCTGTCGGGGAAGCAGAAGATTAGCTCGGCTCGGCGCGAGTGCAGCAAGCCGGCCACCAGATGGCGCCCTCCCCCCGCCCTTGGCCGCTTCGCCTCGGCTCTCCAAAGCCCCCTTGTATTTATTTATATTTTTCAAATTTTCAAATTAATTTTCCAAGAATTTTTAAGACAAACAAACATGCATCCTAGTTGTACCGTAATTAAACCAATCTTAATAACATTGTTAAGTGACTTCCTCAAATCTCCCTGGTTGAGTTTCATTGTGTATCATTTTAACAGTTTTCCAAAATCAATTTTCTCTAAAAATTAACTTGATCACTTAACATCTTTCATGCTTTATAATTTAGCTTTAAACATCTTAATTCCTATCCTTACATATTTAAATCCTAAGCCTATCTGGTGTTTGCAAGCTTCCAAAGCCCCCTTTTGAAGGAGACGCAGAGATCATTCCGGAGAGAATTCCTCTTTGCGCGCACATGTCTTTGGCCACTGGCCTCTTGCACCCCGACCCCCCGCATCTGGCGCTGGCCTTTGCTGCTCTGGCGAGTGGCTGGCAGCTTCTCTTCCTGCTGGTCCTTCCCCAGAAACAGCTGCATTTCTGCATCAGTACAGAAGGCGATTCCCACTCCATCCCATCATCACCCCCAGTTCTAAGCAGCTGCTGAAGCTCTTGTGCGCCTCTGGGGAACCATGAACGCTCTCTTCCTTGCAATGGCTAGCTTTTCTCTCTCCCCCCCCCCGCCCATTTTTTATTTTAAAGGGGGAGGAATCAATCACATCTGGGCTCTGCAAAACCTCACCCTGAGTGGCTCTTTATTGCCCCCCGGGGATGAGGGGAGGCCGGGGCAGATGGTCAGGGAGCACGTGTCTGTGGAAGCAGGAGAAGGGGCGCCCCACACATCATCTGCAACCCATTTCCTCAGGCTGAGATCTCCGATTGTGGATTTGAGGATCTGGTGGTGGGGAGGAATCGAACTGCTACCCCCTTTCTTCTGCTAGGCCACTGAATTGCCTTCCACCCCCTCACCCCACCCCCCACCCCGGCTTGGCAAAGAACCCCGGAGTCCTGGCTGCAAAGATGGGAAGAAAGTTGGGGGCAGAGAAGATGCAAACACCCTCCTCCCCACCTTGGCCCCTTGATTACTGATGCACCTCACACACTTCAGCACACGGGGGGGGGGGAGAAATAAAAGGAAAAAACAGGGTCCAGAGAGTGATCTCAGCTACCTGGCCTCCTTCTGAGGAACTGCACTGCCAACCTCCAGTCCAGAGCCTCTGGTTTGTGTCAGTGGGGAAGACTTTTGCCTGGGAGAGCTGATTTGTTGATGGCATTTCTACCTTTTGCTGATCTCCCAAAGCAGGGGAATTGAATCACGGGCATAGCCAGGATTTTGGGGGTTTTTTGGGGGGGAGGCCTTTTGTTTGAGGAGGGGCAGAACCTTACTTAGCTATGTATTTTTATTGATTGGGGGGCTCCCCCCCCCGGCTACGCCCATACATTGAACCCATGCATCCTAGCTGGCTCTGCATTCCACCCCTGCGCCTCCGGTGATGCCACAGATATCTTTCTGGCTCAGAAGACGGAGCCTAGGCATCTCTACCGTGCCCCCTCCCTTTCCAAGCTCTCCCCGGTCTGAGGATGCAGTTGGCATACAATGCCACTTCCGTACGCGATTAATGTGCTAAAAGCCCCCTGATCGTAATTAATCTTTATGAGGCTGCTCTGAACTTCTATCCGATTCGCATTATAATCTTCCTTTCTCTCCACCCAGAGGCAGAGGGTGTGTGTGTGTGTGTGTGTGTGTGTGTGTGGGCTAAAGATTTACAGGCAGACACAGGCAGGCTCAGTGGAGTATGGCTGTCTGAGGCCTAGTTCTTGACTGGCTTTAAATGAGTGTTAAATGCCGCTCAGGGCTCCTTGAAGACCACACCCAGGCCCCTCCAGACTGGTGCTGCTCAGCAAGGTGTGCGGGTGTATTGTGACTCAGTAATAACGCATTGGTGGCAGATTTATACTGGACCATCCACATAGCATTTTGCTTTACTAGCTGTTCTTTGATGCTTCCCCAACATTACTGCATGATTGCCACGCAGAGGGGCACAAGAGTGAGTGCAAGAAAGCAACACAAAACCTTGGAACCTTTGTGTTATGAAAAGTTACAAAGATATCAGCAGGAAGCTGGGGAACACACACTGAACGGAAAAGAAACTGGAACTTTTGTAGGTGAAAAGAGTATTCAAAGCAAGATCAAATAATCAGGAATCCACAATAAAAACGACTCTTGGAGAAGCTGCAGCTGAGGATGGGAGGAGAACAATATTTTTGAGCACTTCCTTACTTTTTAAAAAAAATCTCTTTGCAAGTAGAAAATTAGCAGAGTGCATGCCACATATTGCACCCCAGCTTCTGCAACCTGCAACCGTACAACTTGAGTTACGAAGGCATCTCTCCCAGAGTGCCGTGTTCGACTGAGGCACTAGAATTCTGGACGGTGCCACTTCACAGAGGAAGGGCTGTGGCTCTGTGGCAGAACAGCTGCTTTGCAGGCAGAATGTCCAGTTTCAGTCTCCCAAGTGGGGCTGGGAATGTCCCCTGCAGAGTTGCTGCCAATCAGTGTAGATAATTCTGTGCTAGATGAAGTAACGGTTTGACACACCATAAGAGCTTCTTAGTTTCCATACTTCAGGGGGCACCACAACAATGCTGTAGAACGGAGCCTGAGAAGCGGGGGCGTGCCAAATTTTGACGTTACACCCGAGTGCTGCTGAAATTTGAGAGCCCAGACTGCTACTGCAAGAGCCCAGAAGTATTCCACCATGTCAGTGGTGCTAGCCAGAAGGGTGCTCTCTCCCTGGATGGGGTGGGTGTGCGGCCTTAAGGGGGCTGAAAATTATGCCTGTCTCCTTTAACAAGCACATGCATGTTCACATTCACACATGCACACATGCAA